CCTTTCCTTTCCTTTCCTTTCCTTTCTTCACTGTTCCTATTCCAAAAAATATCCGTTTCTTTCCCTTTTTTCTTTTCTGTTTTCCTTTATTTTACTTCCATTCCCATTTATCGCGTTCTATGTAATTATTTTCTCTCTATCCTACTGTTAATTTAATTTACTTTGCTTTATCTTTATCTTTTGTTTTTGCATCCTCGGATCTTCCCTTCTCTTTAACACCACAAACCATCAGTTAAAATATTTAATTATCAAAGTTCCACATAATTTTTTATCGGCCAAAAATGATTGGCCTAAATTGAAATACAATCACCTTAATCTACTCATATTTAACAAAGGTAACGAAAACACATTGCGAGTGAAAGAAAATCAAATTAGGATCAGGATGTAGAAAACACAAATATACAATGGCCTCGTCGCTGCGCTGATGTCTTATCAGCATAACAAAAGATTGCAAAAAAAGACGCCTGCTTTTCAAACCATTTCAGCATAATTTGATGCGACCATTGTACTGATAAGTAAGTAGGTATGTGTGTGTAGGTTGTGTTTGTCAAGGATGTGGCTAAACCACTTAACACCCTAATTGTCACAACAAAGTACATAGATACAATAAAAATGCAGCTATAACAGACTACAACAACTATTTACACACCAGTATGCTATAAAATCCGCTGTACTTCGTAGAACTTCTGCTCTCGTTTCCATTTTTTCCTTCAAGGCATACAAAATGTGCGAATAGGTAACTTAACCCTTCAACGCGCACACACATGAGTTTGTTGTCTACCAAAACATTTGACATTCTAAAACACTCGCATACATAGTACACAGCAAACGGCAAACGACAAACCCATTCAGCCGCAATCGCTGCTTGTCAATCTACTTTTTGGTTGAATAGCATTTGAAAAGAAAAACATTTGTCAAACGTGCAAAAATTCGCTGACATTTGTCGCACACTTTCATACACTTCCACTCTTCAAATACTCATCGGCGCCAGTATTGCCGTTGAGAATTTTCAGAAAGTCGCTAAAAAGAGGCCAATGACGAAAAAAGGGTCGACATACTATTTTTAACCGACTTCCTAAAAAAAAATTTTCAAAAAGTTGGGACACGGGGTATTGTCGCTTAAAAAGGGTGCCTTTATTCGCACAACGGTAACACTGATCGGCGCTACTCCCATGCGGTTTGTGCCAATCGCATGCGATAAATAGCATTTCTATATGTATTTATTGCTTTGTATTCACTGCCTTAAGGAAACTCGAGTTGCTTATCCGTGACAGACACACACACTCACTCTAGCACTAAGCAACGATTCCAGCGGGCCAGAAACTAGCAAACTACGATCAGCTTGAATTCGATATGAAAGGCTCTGAAACTGTCAGTCTTTTGGCTTATAGTCTAGACTCTTCAAGAAGTCAAGAAGTATGCGATATTCCACACGTTTGTGCCTCAGCGGTTTGCGGAAAAGTAAAAGAAGGGAGTAAAGAAGGATATATATAAACAGTGGTGGTATTCCTGAGAATCCATCCACTTATACGCTCTAATTACATGGCCAGTGTATGATTGCCGACCAAGATTAGGTATATACTGAGCTCCACAGGCCCATAGTGGTCCTTCCCCCGATGAGAATTGACTGGGATGATAAGTTGAGGAGTAATACGGAGTTGGAGCAGGTGTTTTCTCTGACGCCATGGAAGTGACAGAGCCCAGACTCACCGACGTAAACGTCAGCTGACACGACAAACTTATGAAAGCGTCATGTAAATGAAAGCTCACCATCGTGTACGTGCGACGGTTTCGTTGACGTGTACTGCTTCTCTCGCTCTCTCTCTATCAGCGGAAATATTTGTCTTTCACAACATACTTGAAGTTGGTTAAGTAAATTTATTTTATAAGCACGCACAGTGTTTCGACTATATGGAGGCAGGTAGAAAAAAGTCATGGTGACAGTTGGTAAAAAAAGTAAAAGTCATATATACAAAATTTCACATAATTTACCAATATAGGGAAAGACTCCTTTCCACTTGAAATTAAGGCTGGAATAAGTCAGTCTGTCAAAAGAAGAAATCAGAAAATAATTTCAGCAACTTTCAAGTCAGAACAGATTTCTTAAAAAAATTAAGCTGATATCTGTCCATCGAAAACTAGCCTTGATGTCAACTTTTCTCACAGGGACCTTTGAACTAAATGGTTTATGCAAACACAACGCAAATTTCGCCAAAATTCCACATTTTTGTCAACTAAGGCCCACAATAGCCACACAGACATTCAAAACTCCGCATAACTGCCAAAACACCTTGTGTTGCTCAAAATATAATCTTTTCCAAGGAGCAACACATATGCCTCACCCGAAACATAAGAAATATGGGCGCATTCTATTGTGACAGTCAGGCGGCAAAAAGGTGTTGCAGATAAAGTTTTTTATGCCATTTTTTTAAATAGCACTCAGTAAAAAACGCAGTGCTGGTAGGACTTGATTTTTTTCATTTATTTTTTTTTTTTGGGAAATAAGGCTCAACTTACCAAGTGCTGAGTCCTTTCTTGTATTGAGTGTAGGTATGAAGGCGAAAAAATTGGGCAAGCGTGCTGGTATGCCAGCCAGGCAGTCAGGGACACTCAGCCATTATTTTGAAATCTGCATCGGAAATAGTTTAAGTAAATTATAATTTTACCTTTTGTCAACAATGGGAATGTGTCGTGTGTGTCTGTTGCGGTATTTAATGCCAATTATGGCATGTGAAACAGGATACAGGCGCATATGCCTGCACAGAGTGCAGAAAATGGTTTGTTGTTATTGTATGAGGGATTATTTGGGGATTATGTTTGTACGATTTCGATTGAAGTGGGCGATTCGTGTGCATATTCTTTGCTTGCTACTTCAGCCTTTGTTACCAAATGAAGTGGAATGCTCTGAGTAAAAGGGCGGAGAAAGTGAATTGACAATTGTTAAGCGATTAGTGTATTGAAGAGAAAGGGTTACCAGGAAATATTTGTGTCAGAATTGGCATTTGAATTTCGCTTAAAACGATT